AAAGACGCCGTGTGAAGCATAGAACAAGCAGGCTGGCATGTCAGTTGGTTTAAGGGTCTTACATATTGAGATACCTCGAGCGGCAAAGAAGCCTCTTGTTCGATGGTTGGAGTGGTTAAGCCAACTATTTCGCTGGCGCCGGAGGCTGGAGAAGACTTCCAGGCGGTCGCTGCAGCCATGCAGGCGAATCCGACCGTGGTGCTCCTCGACAGCGGCTGCTCTCATGATCTGATGGGAACGCGAGAGGCTTTTGTCGACATGAAGCCAGGAGGCGAAATCCGTCACGTGCGCGGATTCAACGGGGCGCTTCCAAACGTCGAAGGTCGTGGCACAGTTGCTCTGAAAGGGGAGACCCAAAAGCAGATTCTCATCCCCGACGTGTTGTACGTCCCGGGCGTGCAGGCGAATCTGTTGTCGGCTGGCCAGCTGAAGGACAGCAGAGTGAAGCTGCAGGATGAGGGCGACGAGATGCTGCTCGTCTCCGCTGCAGGAGATGTGCTTGGTCGAGCACGCTTCACCGGCCGGGTCCTCTGCACCGACCTCCGCCCCTGCCCCTTGAAATCGACGACATCTTCGACGGAGGCAGTTGCTCTGCAGACGACCGCATCGGCGACAAAGTCAACGGCGGAGAAGTGGCACCCGAGGCTCGCGCACGTTGGCATTGACACGATCAAGAGTTCGCCGAAGCATGGTGTTGCCATAGGTCTGGACATCGAGAAGTCCACTGGAGCCGACCTGCCGTGTGCCTCCTGTGTCGGCGGAAAGCTAGCGCGACATACTTTTCCGGAGAAGGGATCGGACACTGAAAGCGCCCTCGATGTCGTGCACATTGACCTCTGTGGCCCCTTCCGCATGACCGCCATAGATGGGAGCCTCTATTTCCTCCTCCTCAAGGACCGCAAGACTCGATTTGTATGGGTCCGTCCGATCGAAAAAAGAGCGACGTGCTCGTTGTTTTCGAAAAGCTGAAGGAAGTGGGGCGGCAGACCTCGAAGTCGGTGAAAAGGTTGCGCTCTGACCGCGGAGGGGAGTTCCTCGGTCGGGCCTTCACCGATCTCGTTGAGGACAAGGGTATCCTCCACAACCTCACGTGCCCCTACACTCCGCAGCAGAACGGCATGGCGGAGCGGGAGATGCGAACGGTCGTCGAATCTGTGCGGACGATGTTGCTTCACATGGGCGTGAAGCATCACTAGTGGCACCTTGCCCTTCGCCAAGCTGTCTCGGTGCGCAAATGTCTCGAACGGGCGTCCCTTTCTCCGAGGACGACGCCGTATGAGCTGCTGTTCGAAAAGAAGCCGGACCTTACGCTGGCGCGCGTGTGAGGCTGCATGGTACAGTTCATGGTCCCGGAGCAGCAGCGTGGCGGAAAGTTGGCGCCGAAGGCACGCTAGGGAATTCGCCTCCGTGTTTCGCCGGAGAGCAAGGGCTGGGAGGTGCTCGACCTCACCACCAACCGCGTTGTCACAACCGTGGAAGCAATCTTCTACGAGTCAATGTCTCTAGAGAAGTGGAAGTTGCAGTATGAGCCGGCATCAGCGCGGACGAAGGATTCTCCGCTGATGGGTTTATTGACGGCGGCGATTCAGTTGCTCGAAGCCGAGGACGACAGTCCATCCTGCGGAGAGTCACTCGACAAATGTAGTGAGCTAGACTACGGGGGGGTAGGCACGAACTACTAAGAGTGATCGTAGCTTTGCTTGCGTTCCTTAGCACTTGCACATTCATGGGAGAAGTTGGCAAGAGTTTCACTAGCAAAGTTGGAATTACAGAATGATTGAACAAGCAATTACAACAATGACTACATCAGGCACCTAGCAACTCTGCAGCTAGCTTGGTCGACCGCCAGCACAGCTTGGTCGACCGCCTGCCAGCGATGCGTAGAGGAGCCGCGCCAGCACTGCATAAAAGGCGACCTACCAACACAGCAGGTCGACGGCGTGCCAACGCTGCAGCAGAGCGGCTGTCCAACGTTGCCCCGTAGAAGACAGCAGTGCGCACGCTCGCAGGTGCGCGCAGACGATGGCCCGGCTTGCACCATTGTGCATCCGTCGGCTGTTGTCTGCGCCTGACAAGCCACATCGGCATCGGGATACCAACCCAAAATCGCCTTCGCCATCGCGACCCCGACGACGTTCGCGTGCCTCCGCAGAACTCGTCGAGCAGGTTACCCGGTCGACCTAGTCGACCACCAGGTGCCTCTGGTCGACCACCAGATGCCTCTGGTCGACCACAACTCCTGTCGAGCCACCCCCTGGTCGACGAACCCCTTCCGTCGACCAGAACCGGCAGCGGTTGTCGCCGAGCTCCCCTCGTCGACCGCTGCTCACTTGTCAGGTCAACGGACTGCTCCGTCGACCTTCCGGTCGAGCTGCAGGTCGACGAGCTGCTCCATCAACCTCCCGGTCAAGCTGCCAGCGATGAGGGGAGCATTGGTGCGTTGCCGTTTCAGAGGAGCTGTCGAACGAGGAGCTCGCTTCAGAGGAGCGGACGACAGGGGAGCAGTTCGACGATGGCACATCAAGCGACGTGGTGGACGTCTTTGCCGACAAGCCTGCAGTTCGATGTTCCTCCCGCTCCAACTTTGGTAAGCCTCCCGAGAGGCTGAGCTACCATGCGTGCCTTCCGCCGACCTCCTACAACACTCTGCTCGACGATGCGCAGTTCGACGTCGACTTGCCCGAAATCGACCCCGATGTGCACGCCGACCCACAGCATCGCTGTGACATCGCTCACATGACAGTGAAGGAGGCGTTAGCGAGCTAGAAGGGCAAGGCGGTGAAAGCGGCGATGGACGAGGAAATTCGAAGTCTCATCTCCAACGGCACATGGGAGTTGGTGGAGCGTCCGCGCGGCGTCAATGTCATAAAAAACCACTGGGTTCTAATGACGAAGTACCATGTCAACGACACGGTCGCCCGCGACAAAGCGCGCCTGGTGGTGAAAGGCTTCACGCAGGTCTACGGAGCTGATTACGACGAGACGTACGCACCGGTCGGGAGCTACGTCACGCCGCGGATTTTTCTCAGCATCGTCGCCGTTCTCGATCTGCACCTCATGCAGCTGGACATGAAGAATGCTTTCCTTCAGAGAAAGCTCGACCGCGTGCTCTACATAGACCAGCCGGCGGACGAGGCCCTTGTCAGGGACTGGACAACTTGGTCCTTGTCCCATTCTTCTGTCCTTTGCGTGAGGTGGGGGGATGGCGCAGTGAAGCACTGTTGACCCTAGACTCCTACCGTGATCACCCCATGAAATCCGTGGGGCAGACCATGCTGATGTTCAGGATCACCCGCGCCGTCATCACGGTAGGCTGCACCTTGCTGGTGCTGCCTCTTGATGTGGCGATCAATCGCAGCTTCAAGGCATGGATGTGAAACTGCTATGCAAACTGGTTTGAAGAAGACGGCGTTAACCACCGAACTCGGGCTGGTGAATTACCGGTACTTTGTCTCGTCGTCCTTGCTTGTGACATCACTAACTCTGCTGCACGTGTGTCACCCCTTACTTATTGCTTGCAGAGAACTTGGAAGAACGACCTGAGCTCAACCTGTGGTGGATCGTCGAATCGTGGCTGGATGTGCCGAAGGAGGTCATCAGGAAGGCGTTCCTGACGTGCGGATCTCCTCCGCGCTGGAGGCTTTGGAGGACCACCTCATCCTGGCACATCTTTGGGACAAGGCAGAGGTTGAAGTCCTGGATGACGTGCAGGAGGAGGACGTAACTCCCCCCAACCCGTTCTACGAAGACCCGATGAGGTAGCAGCATGCCAGAACCCCATGGACGACACTCAGCAGGAGCTGCAGGCTGCCACTTGCGCGACTGACGAGGAAGACTAGGTTGAGGACATCGCTCTGGATGACGGTGATGAAGAGGAAGAGGGAGCTACTGGTGCAGGTGGTGATGCCGAGTGGAGTGATGCAGACGACGAGTAATGGGCTCCAGGCCGCTACCGTCATACCCCGGATATACCCCCATGGGGGGCAATAATAAAACAGGTTTTTTTAGGGGGGTGGGCTTATAATCGAGTAAATTTATGAGCGCCGGCGTTTATAAAATGACATATATATATATATATATATATTTTTAACACCAAACTGTAGATCTCGTGCTTGCCTTTTCAATCGAGTCGAAGTTACATGGGGTCGTCTGTGAAATTCTCGCGCGCGCTGGGAAATACACCCAATTTGACTCACATCCAGCTCCTGACATCTTCTGACAGCTCCTGCTGACTGGACCCGCATCCAGTGCAGGGTCCGAATATGAAGGGAACCGAATCTGCAACACATCCGCCTCGTAAAGTAAAAATCGTTACAGCGTTTTGAACACATTTCAAAATTTAAAGTTTACGTGCGCTTATAATAAAACAAGTTTTTTCAGGGGGTGCGCTTATAATCGAGCAGCGGATATAAGCGCCATGCGCCAATTAAAAGCGCCAGGCGCTTATCCGAGGGTGGCACTTATATCCGGGGTATGACGGTATGAAGGGGAAGGATTCGAGGGTGGGGTGTAATGAATTCGAGGCTTATATTCGGGGGATTACGGTACCGGCTGCTGTATTGTGCATACGAAAATCAACGACACTCATTGGTGCTGTCCCCAAATCGCGATTTCCGGCGAATCAATACCGTCACAGTGCGAATCTGCGCCGTGACAGTGTAAATATGTGATGTGACAGATCGACTCTTCGGTGCGACATGGTGAACCTTTTATCTATGACAATGCGAATCCCTACTGTGATAGGGCGAATGTGGTGTGACAGGGCAAATGTGGTGTGACAGTGCGAGCGTAGTGTGCCTTCAAATGAATGTGAAATGTGAAGAGCATTCTAGGGTTAAAAACTGCACTCAAATGTTGATCCCACGTGCATCTACTCTACACACTAGCAACTCTATTTTGATTGGCCAGACAAGGTTTATAGAAATTTCTGATTCATCAAACACGCAAAAAACTAAATACCTGATGCATACAACGGGCCCGAAGGGGAACTCGTAGGGGCATCAGTGGAACTCGTGCTGGCGCATCCACTTGGTGGCAGACCACTTCTCCCCTTTGAGCACATCGCAGCTGCCGTGCAGACTCTTCGGGTCCACCTTGCCCTCAAAGTCCTGGAGGGGGCCAGCAGGCAGTGTGAAAGAGTGGACGGAAGGGGCTGGGTTTCTAGAAGAAGCATGCTGGTGGCAGCAGGGATCAAGGTTAAAAAATACGGTGAGCGTAAAATGCTTACAACTACGACCTAGAAGGTGAGCATCTATAAAACCACAGTGGTCTAGAACAAGTAGGATGCCAACGTTCATCTAATCTTAATCCCTCATCCCCACTACTACTACTACTGCTTCCTCACCCTTCTTGACCTCCTCCTCCCCACTCTCACCATCGCAGCAGTCCCAGGGATTGCTATCCTTAGGAGTCTTGGTGGGTTCATCCGCCTACCCGCTGCTGTCTACGGCCTCCTCCTCTTCCTCATCCGCAGCATGTCCCTTACCCTCCCCCTTGCATGAACCGTTGCCCTTCCCCTTCCTCTTCCTCTTGATGACTCAGCTGTCTTCCTCTTCCTCCACTTGCCTATGCTCCCAAACTCCTTCCAAATAATACTCACTCTTCATCCCCTTCCCCCTCCTCTTCAGCCCCCACTTCCTCTTCTGCTGCTTCGTCCGGAGCTACGGTGCAACCTTCCTTGACGAAGCCGTTGCTCAGGTCAGTGCAGAGCTTCGCAAACACCTATTGTCTTCGATCAAGTGCGTCACGGGCCCTCCTGGTGAAGGCAACATATGTGACGTCTGTCAATCTCGAGGCGTTGATGCGGTTCCGGTCCTGCCTCTGCACACGTGCAAGGGCGGACCGGTACCGCTCCACCTCGGACGAGGTGACTGGCTGTGATAGCAATATCACAGGCCGCACCTGGAGCGCACGCACTTCCCCACCGTACATCCACCACCACTCCGCATCCATGAACAGTCCGCCCTCCACCAACGTCGTTGTTGCCGAACGGGCGCCATTGGAACCCAAAGGCCCCTCGCCTTTGTGGAGCTGGGCCAGCTGAGCGCTGTGCGACATCCCCCTCTCGGGCTTGGATTACCTCCTCCGCCCCTCTCCTTACGTCGGGGTCGTTTCTCACCTCCCCAACGTACTGGTTGCGGGGATTGAGAAGCCAGCCCATTGCATGCAAGGGATTGTGCAGCTGGCAATTATTGCCTTGATGGAGGCCAGTAGCATGCCCGTCCGTTTGGCCAAGACTGCGGCTGCTCATGTTGGAAAAAGAGCACATGTAAGTAAATAATATAAGATGGGGATCACAGTAGGATTGCTCGAATGCAAAAACACGTGCCGCCACGGCCGCAACATTTGTCTTGACAGTGGCCTCTAGCATGAGGCCATAAACCTGTCCCACGACTAAAGGCCGTTTGTAAACGGCTCTAAGCACCTCATAGACCACAGTCATAAGGCGGAGCACTGCCATCTCATAGTCCCAAAACACATCGTCTGAAAACAGCTTGCGGACCACCACCCCCGCCTCTAATCGTGCCACCGCAACCTCCTCCCATTAATCGCTAGTGACCATCTCTCTAAGCGCCTTCTTCACTCCTAGAAATCGGTCGAGCATTATCACATGTGTGCCAATCGTGTTGCACTAGGCCACACCAAGGATAGATTGTTGAAAACCTATGGGAATAAAGTGACGGCGCAAGGCACTGCCTTTCACCATCATCACTACATGGTGAAGGCCTAGGACACGCCTAACCGCCCGAATCTTTCCAAGGTCATGCAGCATGAAATCCAAGACGCGCGCCGCGCAGTTGGTGAAGAACAACTCGGGAATACCCTCGGTGAGCATGGCGGCCGCCCTCTTGTTGTTGGGGGCGTTGTCCATAACAACTTATCTCCAGCCGTGCAAATCGCTTGTCGAATGACATCGGCCAGGTACTCGCCCGTCTTGTTAGCAGTCTTAGAGTCGATGATGTCCTCAATCACAAGTGCCGTATCATTATGCGCAATGATACGCACCACCCCACAGCTCTTTAGGCATGTCACCCGTCCACCGAGAGGGTGCACCCGTTCATGCTCCAGCTTTCATTGAGGCCTAACAAGGTCTTTGATGTCCGCCTTCAGCTTCACGAGCAGCGGGCCGGACACCCTGTAGGGGGATGGGAGAGTATAGGGCTTCCCGAAGTTGACGGCCGCGTCAACAAAAGCTTGGAACGCCTTGGACTTGGAGGTGTGAAATCCAAGGTCGTTTTCTGCCACTGCAGCCGCCCACATGTTGTCAAGACGACTGCGAGCAACCGTATCCGTCGTGTCGCAGATATCCCGCTGCCTCGTGGGACGTGCGGGATGCAGCAACCGTAGACGTGGAGCCACGGTTGGATTCATTCCCCGTGGAGGAACGTTCCAATTGGGCTGCCGACAACAGCTGCTAAATGTACTCCGGATTCCCAACCGCTACGTTCCGCGATTCCGAGGACGGAATGCCGAACATATGCTCCCCTATTCTGTCACGTTAGCCGTCACAGTAGCATCACAATGAATGCATGTAGCATTGACAACGGTGTCGTCTGGTCCTGTCACCTTCGTCACATTCTCTCAAAATTGTGAAATCGATCGCACCATGGCGTCGAGCTAGACTATGCTAATATGAAAGCGGTAAGATTGTTGATATGAAGTAAGGCTATACCTAAGAAGAATGTGTCAAATGATTTTTTTCTAGTACCTCGTAGGCGTTGCTGGTAGACATGAGCATCTGGCCCGACCCGACCCGACCCGACCCGAATTGACTTGCGGGCCAAGCAGGTTTTCGAGTTGGGTCGGGTCGGGCCAGCCCTGGGCCAGGATGTTAAATACCCTGACCCGAACCGATGGTACAGGGCCGGGTCAGGCCTGATTCAACTTCCGGTTGGGCCAACCCGAGGTCGGTTCGGGTCAGGAAACCCGCTCTCGCCCCTGCTTTGCAGATTGGTGATTTCGCCCGCCGATTTGCGTAGATCGGCGAATTTGCCCGTCAATCTGCGCAGAGCAGCGATTTCGACTGTTGATCTGCGCAGATCAGAGATTCCGCCCTTCGATCTGCACAGATCGGCGATTTCGCCAGCGTAAATATGCAGATAGTCAATTTCACTGCCAATCTGGATATTGGGATTTTGCCTATAGTCTACTCAGCCTAGGCACTTGTTTCCAACAAATGTATTGGAACCAACATTTCCAACCAATTCGCCACTGCTCACCACTCTTTACCGAACTGAACTGGATCTACAATTCCCAACCCCCCCCTCCCCCCCCCCCCCCCAACCTCCCCCTCTTTACAGATCTTTCCACATTGAGCCTAGTACATGCCGATCTCGACATTGAGCCTATTGCTTGCCTAGAACCAAGGATTTCTGGGCTGATGGTAACAAACAAGTCAGGTTGCGGGACTTTTGTCGAGGGGAAATATGTCCCCTACACATCGAGTTTAGGGTTTCCCTAAGTGTCGAAATTGGATCGGTAGGGTCAAAGCCCGACCCGATTACCCCGATTTTGACCCGATTCCGGTCAGGTCAAAGTCGGCCCGAAACCAGGTCCGACCTGACCCGAAATTCAACACCTGGTCGGGTTTTTGCCCGACTCGACCCGCCCAGGCGAGGACATTGAGGGTTCTGACCTGACCAATAAAAATCTCGTTTGCTCATGCCTAGGTGATGCTTTGTTGGGTGGAGTTTGAAGAAGGGATAAGAGGGAAGACGATTGGGCAAATGCTATTGGCTGGAAATGTTTTCGCATGCTAAGGCTGTGAGCGCCAAGTTAGTGGGCAAATGCAAAATGCAGGGCGCGATACAGCTGCAAAACGGGTGAACAAATGCCATTCGTTTGCCAAATGTCAAAATTGTCGCGACTCGATGTGTCCATTTTGCGATTCGGCAAATGAAGTCAATGACTGCGCGAAACAGGTTAACACTTGTCCAAATGTCCAAATGTCACGCCTCGAAAACGTGTTGAATCTTGCGATTTGGCTAAATGAATGTCACTACTGAATGTGCGCAAGAAATCACACGTTATAAGACTGACGGGTGCAAAAATCCGAATTTTGATGTACCCTTTTTTGGTTTCAAAATTTCAGTCGAAAGAATCGACCATGTTTTTTAACCAAGCAAAAAAATTGAGGTCTGACCGTTTTTCATTATTTCATACGACCGTATTATACGATACTGTATAACACAATCCATATTGAAATATGGTCGTATGTTTGAACCTGGGTCAAAACATTCGCCAGTAGCAGCTGTGTTACTGTGATGAGGCAACCCTTAGAACAGGACGACGTTCATTGTGTACTCCATAACAGAACTCACTACACGACAAAGCAGTACTCACCACATTCCAGAAGAGCACAGCATCGCCCTTGACTGGGCGCACACAGATGCCCTCCTTCATCTCGCCGCCGCACTCACACTTGCTGCTGCCTCCCGCCTGCCACGCGAGGTGAGGGATGGCAAGGCATGAGAAAACGAGGGCGTGGGAGAAGAAGAGCATGAGGATTACGCTGAGCAGTGAGACTGAGTCTCAGTGAGTCGCACACAGATAGTTAGGTTGCCCTAAGAGACGGTCTTCATTCACGATGCGAGACACCTTGGATTATGGACACACACCCCGCCCTCTGGCCCGTTCTTCATTCCACCATTGTAGGTCCCCAACCACTTCCTAGGAAGGCAAAAAAAGAAAGTCGATCGAAAGGGACCACATATGAATTCACGAGAGCACCGAGGAAGACATGAGAGCATGCCATACAACACAGCGTCTCACTGGCTGCCATACAACACAGCGTCTCACTGGCTGCCATACAACACAGCGTCTCACTGGCTGCCATACAACACAGCGTCTCACTGGCTGCCATACAACACAGCGTCTCACTGGCTGCCATACAACACAGCGTCTCACTGGCTGCCATACAACACAGCGTCTCACTGGCTGCCATACAACACAGCGTCTCACTGGCTGCCATACAACACAGCGTCTCACTGGCTGCCAGGATGGTCACACCCTCAACTGCATGCCTTGTGTGCGGAATACCTTCACATGAATCAGTAGGCATTCCACTCATTGCATGCTGCAACGAGATACATGCACTCTTATAGTTAGTATCAGACCTATGAAACAGTTGGTCACAATCTGTTTCCTGGCTATGATGCCATAATGGAGAGTCTACTGCCATTCGCCACATTGATGGAAGAACCAAACCTGGAACATGCACCTACTCACTTGAGCTCATCGCTTCAGTACTGGGCCCGTGGAAGGTAGTGCACCCACTGTGGTGTTCATTTGAGCAGCAGAAGTGCGTGGAGGGCAAGGAGCAGAAGTGCGTGGAGGGCAAGGAGCAGAGGTGCGTGGAGGGCAAGGAGCAGAGCAGGGAATGAGAGGCCCCAGGGTGGTGTGGGCTCACGTTGGGGAAGATGGTTTGGCCGCCGTCCTCCGGCGCCTCGATGTACATGAGCATCGTAGCCACCCGCTGCCCTCCCCTCCGCACGTTCACCTGCTCCAATGGCACCCGTGCAGCACGGCAGAGGGACAGGCAGGGATGAAGGAGAATGGTAACGAACGCGGGAGGGGCAGAGATTGCGGAAGTGAGTGAAGGAGCGAGATAGAAGGTAAGAGGGCGAGGGCGGGGCATATGGACCCGTATGGGGATGGCGAATGGGATGTCAAATGCGGGTGCCATACGGTGATGTCAACTAGGGATGTCAAATGGTGATGACAATTTGACACTGCAAGACAAGTGTGTGGCAGAGAAACTGCAAGACAAGTGTGTGGCAGAGAAACTGCAAGACAAGTGAGTGGCAGAGAAACTGCTGAAATGCTTCTCCTGGCTGTCCCACATGCTTCATAACGCCCTGACCTGCCCTGCCATACCCATCACTAGGGATGAGCAAAGGGCGAACACGAACATGTTCGTGTTCGCCTCTTGTCGAACACCCTCTTTTGCCGAACCGAACACTGTTCGGTTCGGCGAACAGTTTAGGCAAAAACAGGTGTTCGCTGTTCGCCTGTGGAGGCGTGTTCGGGCGAACCTCCAACACGTTCGTGTTCGCCACGGGGCGTTCTGCAGCAGCGCCACGAACACGAACGTGTTCGGGCGAACATCGAACACGTTCGGGCGAACGATTTAAGCTGAAAAACAAAACCTGTTCGGTTCGCCTCGAACACGTTCGAGGCGAACCGAACAGGTGTTCGCCACCTTGCTCATCCCTACCCATCACCACCACACCCCAACACATCCCAACACACCCCACTAACCCCACTGCACCTCACATCTCCCAGCCCAGCCAGGATACCCCAGCATGCCCCGGCATATCCCACCCACCCCACACATGATGCACGGGCAGACCTGATCCGAGAAGTAGTCAGGGTGCGGCAGGTAGTGCTGGCCGTGCTCGTACCTGATGGTGGGCACATGTGCATGCACGCCACATGCACACACACACACACACACACACACACACACACATTTGCACACATGCACACACACACACACACACATTTGCACACATGCACACACACACACACACACATTTGCACACATGCACACACACACACACACATTTGCACACATGCACACACACACACACACACACAATTGCACACATGCACACACACACACACACACACACAATTGCACAAATGCACACACACACACACACATACACATGTGCGCTTGCACACATGCACGCTCGCACATCCAGAAACAGAGCTAACACCATTCTACAGACGAGAGCATGTTAGCAGGCATGGAGCATGTTTGCAGGCACAGAGCATCTTTGCAGGCACGGAGCATGTTTGCAGGCACGGAGCATGTTTGCAGGCACGGAGCAGCATGTTCTTTCGCTCAGCCGATAAATCTTTCGGCCATACCTGCAGCATGCACTGTAGCTCACTTGAGTATTCGGATGAGCTCACTTGAGTTTTCGGATGAGCTCACTTGAGTATCCGGATGAGCTCACTTGAGTATTTGGATGAGCTCACTTGGGTATTTGGATGAGCTCACTTGGGTATTTGGATGAGCTCACTTGAGTTTTCGGATGAGCTCACTTGAGTATCCGGATGAGCTCACTTGAGTATTTGGATGAGCTCACTTGGGTATTTGGATGAGCTCACTTGGGTATTTGGATGAGCTCACTTGAGTATTTGGATGAGCTCACTTGAGTATTTGGATGAGCTCACTAAAGTATTTGGATGAGCTCACTTGGGTATTCGGATGAGCTCACTCGAGTATTTGGATGAGCTCACTAAAGTATTTGGATGGGCTCACTTGGGTATTCGGATGAGCTCACTCGAGTATTTGGATGAGCTCACTTGAGTATTTGGATGAGCTCACTTGAGTATTTGAATGAGCTCACTTGAGTATTTGGATGAGCTCACTCGAGTATTTGGATGAGATCACTTGAGTATTTGGATGAGCTCACTTGAGTATTTGGATGAGCTCACTCAAGTATTTGGATGAGCTCACTTGAGTATTTGGATGAGCTCACTTGAGTATTTGGATGAGCTCACTTGAGTATTTGGATGAGCTCACTTGAGTATTTGGATGAGCTCACTTGAGTATTTGGATGAGCTCACTTGAGTATTTGGATGAGCTCACTTGAGTATTTGGATGAGCTCACTTGGGTATTTGGATGAGCTCACTTGAGTATTTGGATGAGCTCACTTGGGTATTTGGATGAGCTCACTTGAGTATTTGGATGAGCTCGCTTGAGTATTTGGATGAGCTCGCTTGAGTATTTGGATGAGCTCACTTGAGTATTTGGATGAGCTCACTTGAGTATTTGGATGAGCTCACTTGGGTATTTGGATGAGCTCACTTGGGTATTTGGATGAGCTCACTTGAGTATTTGGATGAGCTCACTTGAGTATTTGGATGAGCTCACTTGAGTATTTGGATGAGCTCACTTGAGTATTTGGATGAGCTCACTTGGGTATTTGGATGAGCTCACTTGGGTATTTGGATGAGCTCACTTGAGTATTTGGATGAGCTCACTTGAGTATTTGGATGAGCTCACTTGAGTATTTGGATGAGCTCAGTATTTGGATGAGCTCACTTGAGTATTCGGATGAGCTCACTTGAGTATTTGGATAAGCTCACTTGGGTATTCGGATGAGCTCACTCGAGTATTTGGATGAGCTCACTTGAGTATTCGGATGAGCTCACTTGGGTATTCGGATGAGCTCACTTGAGTATTCGAATGAGCTCACTTGGGTATTTGGATGAGCTCACTTGAGTATTTGGATGAGCTCACTTGAGTATTTGGATGAGCTCACTTGAGTATTCGGATGAGCTCACTTGAGTATTCGAATGAGCTCACTTGGGTATTTGGATGAGCTCACTTGAGTATTTGGATGAGCTCACTTGAGTATTCGGATGAGCTCACTTGAGTATTCGAATGAGCTCACTTGGGTATTTGGATGAGCTCACTTGAGTATTTGGATGAGCTCACTTGAGTATTTGGATGAGCTCACTTGAGTATTTGGATGAGCTCACTTGAGTATTCGGATGAGCTCACTTGGGTATTTGGATGAGCTCACTTGAGTATTCGAATGAGCTCACTTGGGTATTTGGATGAGCTCACTTGAGTATTTGGATGAGCTCACTTGAGTATTTGGATGAGCTCACTTGAGTATTTGGATGAGCTCACTTGAGTATTCGGATGAGCTCACTTGAGTATTCGAATGAGCTCACTTGGGAATTTGGATGAGCTCACTTGAGTATTTGGATGAGCTCACTTGAGTATTTGGATGAGCTCGCCGTTTTGAGGCGGCACGTTGGAGAAGGCAGCGATGCGCTCCTCGATGCGCTGCTCGCACAGTGGGAGGGATGGGGGTGCACTGGGGTGCATTGGGGTGCAAGTTGCTGCATTGGGGTGCAAGTTGCTGCATGGGGTTGCAAAGGGATGGATGGGTGTGAATGGGGTTGCATGGGGGTGCATGGGGGCGTCGTCAATGCACAACAGAGAATGTTGATGGATTCAGAACAACCAGAAGCAGTAAATACGACGATGAAACGGTGAAAAGAGACACAACAGCAGACCTGTATTGTGCATGGCAGCGCTGTGCATTGCGGGGGCAGCGGACCTTGACGAGGATCAGCGGACCTTGACGAGGGGCAGCGGACCTTGACGAGGGGCAGCGGACCTTGACGAGGGGCAGCGGACGAACCTTGACGAGGGGTTGGGCGGAGTCGGAGTGCGAGAGGAACATGCCGCTGCTCGTGCGCACCTCACTGCGGTAACTCTGGCGGGTGAGATGGACGCGCACCCACTCATGCACATGCACGCAGCACACGTACACGTCCAAGCACACATGCAAACACATGCACATGCACGCATACACATGCACACACACGCACACACACACACACACACACACACACACACACACACACACACTCACACGCACACACACACGCACCCATAAGGATATGCAACCGCGCACAGACACACACGCACGCAAGCACACACACCAGATGCGAACATTCATACATGCACACAAACAGACACATGCACGCGCGCGCGCACACAGGCACCCACACACACGCACATGCACGAACGCACACTGACACATGTGCTTAACTTACAATAAAAAATAAGCATGCATGGCGAAATGCATATATGTGGACACGCACACTCAGCTCCGACAAACACGAGGAGTGGAGGAGAGGAGGTGACAAAGTTGCATAGAGGAGAGAGTTGGAATTTCAACTTGAGGGTCGTCAGAGGGAGAGTGGGGTGTGAAGAAACGGGAAGATGAGGAGAGGAAGGGATGAGATCGGAGAGAAAAAGAAGGAAAAAAAATGATAGAGGGAAGAAACAAAGCAGGAAAAGACAGATGGGGATGATAAGAAAGCTGGACAGCGGGTGCAGAGAAGTGTGAGAGGGAGGGTGTGAGCGTGCCTTGCCGGAGGAGGAGTCAACAACGGTGGATGACTCGAGGGCCTTCCTCGCCATCGCCTTGAGCGCCTCACACTCCTGCCACCCCCCACATACCACCCCCCACATGCCCCGAACACACGCGGTGCAGCACACACGATGGCTCCCATTCACAACCTCAATTCAACCACACATGAGCATGCGGCAAAGGCTCGAGGCAAACTCATGACAGGTTTACAGACGAGCTGTAGTTGCTCGTCCCATAGCAGCTGGGTTGGGTCTTGTAGATCCAGTGCGGTGACGAGTGGTAAGTACCGGCGAATTGGTTGGGATTTTTGGGGCCAACAAACTTGACGGGGAGGAAGGGGTGCGTGGCTTTCCTCACAGTTAGTGCCGAAAACAGATCGACCGGCGAAATCGCGGATCTGCACACAGTGCGGGGGAAATCGGGTTTCCTGTAACCGACCCGACCTCGGGTCGGCCAACCCAGGAAGGACTTACCTGCCAGCTGAGAAAGGACTTACCTGCCAGCTGAGAAAGGACTTACCTGCCAGCTGAGAAAAAACTTACCTGCCAGCTGAGAAAGGACTTACCTGCCAGCTGAGAAAGGACTTACCTGCCAGCTGAGGAAGGACTTACCTGCCAGCTGAGGAAGGACTTACCTGCCAGCTGAGGAAGGACTTACCTGCCAGCTGAGGAAGGACTTACCTGCCAGCTGAGGAAGGACTTACCTGCCAGCTGAGGAAGGACTTACCTGCCAGCTGAGGAAGGACTTACCTGCCAGCTGAGGAAGGACTTACCTGCCAGCTGAGAAAGGACTTACCTGCCAGCTGAGAAAGGACTTACCTGCCAGCTGAGAAAGGACTTGAGGAGAATCACCCGAGGCTCCCAGCTGACCACCTCTGGGATCACCTGCACAGTTTGGAGACAGCAGCGAGCAGCAGAGAGCAGTGAGCGAGAGGTGCAGGACGGTGCAGGTGGTGAGACAGACAGAGGCCATGGGCTGGCTGATATGGTGTGTGTGAGAAGAGCGGTGCTGTCCAATCACTTGCAAGCACTGCCCCTCCCAGCCCGCACTGACCAGGCCGAGCCTGAGGCGCTCTGCTGTGCGCCTGTCCGCCCCTGCCATCTCCCACACCGCCCTCATCGCCTCCTCCCCTGCCACGTCACACACATGTGGCATCCAATTGTCATCATTTGAGAAGCAGTGTGGCACAGAACAGGAACTGCAGGAGATGGAAGCAGGGACACCGTGCCACACACAGGGCTGACTGAAGCATGCGAGAAGAGAGGAACCTGCAGGACGGCATTCGCGTACTGCTCCACCAAAAATGACTCACGCACACCCACTCCCTACACCCACCCTCCCATCCATTCGCCCACACCAAGTTGGCCCCATCCACCCGTTCCCACCCACTCCCCGCCCCCCTTCCCCGCCCCATTCCCCTTCCCCCCCCTTTCCCTACTGTGCTGTGCCTCTGGCAGCTCCACCCCGCGCGTGGAGTGGCTGGCAGCACCGCCTGCAGCGCGGAGCAGAGGGGGCGGGGGGGGAGAGAGGAGCGGTGGGGAGAAAGCAGAGCAGGGAGAGGGGAGATGGAGGCATTGCACTGAGGGCGGGGAGTGACGCACCACCAGCGTTGCACGCTTCTATTCTAGAAACCACCCCTCCCCCTCCCCCCCTGTGCTACCCGACCGCTCTGCCGTGCGACCCATCACGCTCCTCTCGAGCCCATCCCTGCTTCCCCCATCCTCACTTCACAAGCCGTCATACCATCTCATACCACATCATGCCATCTCATACCACATCATGCCATCTCATACCACATCATGCCATCTCATACCACATCATGCCATCTCATACCACATCATGCCATCTCATACCACATCATGCCATCTCATACCACATCATGCCACCTCATACCACATCATGCCATCTCATACCACATCATGCCCATACCACCTCATACCACATCATGCCACCTCATACCACATCATGCCATCTCATACCACATCATGCCATCTCATACCACATCATGCCATCTCATACCACATCATGCCATCTCATACCACATCATGCCATCTCATACCACATCATGCCATCTCATACCACATCATGCCATCTCATACCACATCATGCCATCTCATACCACATCATGCCATCTCATACCACATCATGCCATCTCATACCACATCATGCCATCTCATACCACATCATGCCATCTCATACCACATCATGCCATCTCATACCACATCATGCCATCTCATACCACATCATGCCATCTCATACCACATCATGCCACCTCATACCACATCATGCCATCTCATACCACATCATGCCACCTCATACCACATCATGCCACCTCATACCACATCATGCCATCTCATACCACATCATGCCATCTCATACCACATCATGCCATCTCATACCACATCATGCCATCTCATACCACATCATGCCATCTCATACCACATCATGCCATCTCATACCACATCATGCCATCTCATACCACATCATGCCATCTCATACCACATCATGCCATCTCATACCACATCATGCCATCTCATACCACATCATGCCATCTCATACCACATCATGCCATCTCATACCACATCATGCCACCTCATACCACATCATGCCATCTCATACCACATCATGCCACCTCATACCACATCATGCCACCTCATACCACATCATGCCATCTCATACCACATCATGCCATCTCATACCACATCATGCCATCTCATACCACATCATGCCATCTCATACCACATCATGCCATCTCATACCACATCATGCCATCTCATACCACATCATGCCATCTCATACCACATCATGCCATCTCATACCACATCATGCCATCTCATACCACATCATGCCATCTCATACCACATCATGCCACCTCATACCACATCATGCCATCTCATACCACATCATGCCATCTCATACCACATCATGCCATCTCATACCACATCATGCCATCTCATACCACATCATGCCATCTCATACCACATCATGCCATCTCATACCACATCATGCCATCTCATACCACATCATGCCATCTCATACCACATCATGCCATCTCATACCACATCATGCCACCTCATACCACATCATGCCATCTCATACCACATCATGCCACCTCATACCACATCATGCCACCTCATACCACATCATGCCATCTCATACCACATCATGCCATCTCATACCACATCATGCCATCTCATACCACATCATGCCATCTCATACCACATCATGCCATCTCATACCACATCATGCCATCTCATACCACATCATGCCATCTCATACCACATCATGCCATCTCATACCACATCATGCCATCTCATACCACATCATGCCATCTCATACCACATCATGCCATCTCATACCACATCATGCCATCTCATACCACATCATGCCATCTCATACCACATCATGCCACCTCATACCACATCATGCCATCTCATACCACATCATGCCACCTCATACCACATCATGCCACCTCATACCACATCATGCCATCTCATACCACATCATGCCATCTCATACCACATCATGCCATCTCATACCACATCATGCCATCTCATACCACATCATGCCATCTCATACCACATCATGCCATCTCATACCACATCATGCCATCTCATACCACATCATGCCATCTCATACCACATCATGCCATCTCATACCACATCATGCCATCTCATACCACATCATGCCACCTCATACCACATCATGCCACCACATGCCATCATGTCATGTCGGTATGCCCTTGAGAGTGGGATGCATGCACCACATCCTCCACAGTAACCACACAAACCCCTTGCAGCACCGCATCACACCCCACCACACCGCACCCACCATGCCGCTTAGCCTGAGTGTCGATCCACGAGACAAGGGCGAGCAGAGCAGCTAGCGGGGGAAGGGAGAAAAGCGAGGAGGGGAAGGGGAAGAGCGGTGGGGTGAGGGGGCACAGCAGCAGCGACGAGAATCAGGCGGGCAGTGAAGGAATGCGCGCCGAATGACAAGCTATGGACAGCGCGATGCGCAACCAGTGCGCTGCGCGACGAGCGTTCACGTGACGCACGGCGAGCGAAACGTAACCGAATCGCCAAGCGCGCACCGGAAACGGCGCAGAGCGCGGCGAGAAACAGAAGGCGAGCTACGGCAGCGGCCAGCCACTTCCCGACTGTCGCAGAGGGACTCGCGCGCGATCGGATGAGACCCATGCGCGCGCGGATGATGTTCGTCCCAAAGTATGATCGAGACTCAGGGAGGGACTGGTTGCGACTAGCTGATACTGCGTTCTTTTGCCGTCTCAATGCCTCTTCGGGCCGTTCTACGGTAGACAATCCGCGAAACAGTCGTATCAGCTTAGTGCTGTCAGACAGTCTCCCCCGCTGTGTCAATGAGAGGCTGAGCGCGATTCGGTAAGGTTAGGCTCTGAATATCAATGACCGTATTCGCAATAATTTTTTCGGATCTTAGCCCCCTTATGCATTTCATTGAATTCGTTACGTGCTAAAATCGGATGAGCGCCGAGCAGCAGGTGTCAAACTATTATTATGTTTACCGTATGTTGTGTAGGCAGTGGGGTAGCCCATAAGGGGTACAACCCAATTAGGGTTAGTACTTGTACTCTGTTCTTTCTCAATTCATTCATTCTCGTTCAGTATTCTTGACATGGTTTCAGAGCACGTCCTATTCATGGCAGGTATTTTTTTTGGCCCATCGAATAGTTCCCTGCCCGTAGCGTGTTACCCTGCTCGTAACGCCCTACTCTGCCCGCCGCGCTGCCCCACCAGTCGCACTGCCCTTTTTTGCCCGTCGTGCTACCCTGCTAGCGCCGCGCCGCCCTGCCCTGCTCGCGCGCCGCCCTGCTGGCCGTCGCGCTGCCGTGCCCTGCCCGCGCGCCGCCCTGCTGGTCGCGCGCCGCCCTGCCCTGCCCGCTCGCCGCCGCGCCGCCCTGCCCTGCCCGCGCGCCGCTCGCCGCCGCGCCGCCCTACCCTGCCCGCACACCGCTTGCCGCCGCGCCGCCCTGCCCTGCCCGCGCGCTGCTCGCCGCCGCGCCGCCCTGCCCTGCCCGCACGCCGCTTGCCGCCGCGCCGCCCTGCCCTGCCCGCGCGCCGCTCGCCGCCGCACCGCCCTGCCCTGCCCGCGCGCCGCTCGCCGACGCGCCGACCTGCCCTGCTCGCGCGCCGCCCTGCTGGCCGCCGCCCTGCCCTGCCCTGCCTGCGCGCCGCCTTGCTGGCCGCCGCCCTGCCCTGCCCTGCCCGCGTGCCGCCCTGCTGGCCGCCACCCTGCCCTGCCCTGCCTGCGTGCCGCCCTGCTGGCCGCCGCCCTGCCCTAGCCGTGCGCCGCCCCGCCCTGCACTGCGCGCGTCCCTAGCAGTTGCGAGCCGCCCTACCCGTCGCGCCGTCCTTGCGTGCGTGCTGCCCTGCTGCTAGCGCACCGCACTACTCTGCCCGCTATGGCTACTCTCAGCGTCCTCACCTTCGATCCTGAGGGCCGTCCGATCCAGTTCGATGCGTGGCTCGATGACTTGCAGCTGTACCTACTGAGCGATTCTAAGGACGGCGTTTCGCTGTTTGACCTCACATCTGAAGCCTCTCTCACCCCTCCCGACACAGATGATAGTGCGACTCGCTCCCAGTGGCTTACCCGTGACGCTGCGGCTCGCCTAGTCGTTCGCAACCACCTGCTGTTAGCCGAACGCGCTCACTTTGGCCAGCACAAGACTGCTAGAGCCCTGTACGACGCTGTAGACGCTCGTTACTCCTCCCCGGCCACTACTGCTCTAGGCTGACTTATACTGCCCTACCTTTTTCCCGAGCTGTCCGCCTTTGCCACAGTCGCCGACCTCATCACTCACCTCCGCTCTAGTGACACTCACTACCACGCCGCACTTCCAACCAAGTTTCTCGCTTACATCACTCTCTATTTCATGGTCACCCACCTCCCTGCCTCTCTTAGCGCAGTTAGGGACCTCCTTCTCGCCCTCGACGCCACATACCTCACTGACGACCTGCTCGAGTAGCACCTCCTTGCGTCTGAGACCAGCGTAGTTGCTGTAGGCGCTTCTCGTGGCACTCCTCGCACTCCCTTCTTTAAGGGTTGTTCCCCCTCCCCCCTTGTCCCCTCTGTCGCTTCTGCTGCTGCTGTTGACTTCCTTCATACAGAGGAGATCGGGGCTGCGTCTGCTCCTAGTGGGAGGCGCCGCAGCGGCAGGGGCAAGGGAGGCAAGGGTGGTGGGGGTGGCAGCGATGGAGGCGGTGGTGGGGGCGGTGGAGGCGATGGTGGGGGCGATGGAGGCAGTGGAGGTGGCGGTGGTGGCGGAGGGAGTCGTGGTGGGAGTGGAGGCGTTGGCAGCGGTAGTGGTGGCGGCAGAGGAAGTGGTGGCGGCGGCAGTGGTGGCGGTCGGGATGGAGCCGGTCAGAGGGGCGGTTCTGGCGGTGGTCAGAGGCAGCAGCAGCAGCGTCAGCGTGAGACCCCTACGCTCTAGGAGCTTCGTGAGTGGTTTGCAAAGCTTGGGGCGTCTGGGGGTAGTGTTCGCTGCCAGTACGTCATTCGCACAGGTGACCGCGCTGGTAAGACATACGGGAAGGTTGCTCACACCATTCCCGCTGCTTCTCCCGTCTTGACGACGCCTGGCGAGCAGAGTTTCCCGACGCGACTGAGCTCCCCCGCTGGCTAGAGCTACTTAGGCAGGGTGTTGATATCTTTGCCCTTGACTATGATGCTATCCTTGCTGCCATGTATGCATTGATTGTTAGTGCTGAGGGTGACTGTTACCTGTGTGTGCCGCCCGACCCATGTATAGAGGCTGCTGCTCTAGGTGCTAGTGAGTCTGTTCCCCCTGGTACTACGCCTGCTGAGGCCTTGCACACCTTCACGCTTGACTCAGATGCTTCCAGCTGTTTCTTTCGCGACAGCACCACAGTCACACCACTCCCTGCACCTGTTGCAGTCAGACTGGCTGACCCCTCAGGGGGCCCAGTTCTTGCTTGTTCCTCCACTGTTCTCCCGTGTCCGGCGCTTCCGTCCGGCTCACTCTCAGGTCTTCACCTCCCCTCGTTCTCTACGAACTTGGTGAGTACCGCTGCCCTCCAGGATGCGATGGTCACTACCACCACTCCTGGGGGCCAGCGTGTGTTGATCTGCACGTGTACACGGACGGGCCGTCACCTGGCCACGTTCACCTTCGGCCTAGGTCGAGACTCACTGACTACTGAGACTCCTCAGGTAGCTGCTTCTGCGTCCGCGTCAGGTCAGCTTGCAGCCCCCTGCTCGTGTCGCGCCCAGTTGCACCAGACCCTCCTTTGGCACCACCGCCTTGGTCACCCCTCCCTGCCACGCCTCCGTGGCATGAACTCCTGTCTCCTTGTCTCTGGTCTTCCCAGTTCTCTGCCTCCCCTCCCACCCTTGCCTGCCCCTCCCTGCCTTCCCTCTATCGAGGGGCGGCAGTGCGCCGCTCCTCACTCCTCATTTCCCCTGATGACTGCTCCCCTGCAGACTCTCCACATGGACGTGTGGGGCCCAGCCCACGTCCGTGGACAGGGCCGCGAGCGATTCTTTCTGCCAAGAGCGGTTCCACACGGACCTTCTGGTCCTGCGTCTGCACTCTGACAGAGGTGGTGAGTTCGCCTCCGACCTCTTGCGGGACTGTTGTCGTGGGGAGGGCATTCGCCAGTCGTTCACGCTTCCGGCCTCTCCGCATAATGATGGGGTTGTTTAGCGCCGCATTGGCTTAGTCATGGAGGTTGCTCATACCTCCATGATCCATGCGGTTGCTCCCCATTTTCTGTGGCCGTTTGTGGTCCGGTACGCTGCGCATCAGCTCAACCTCTGGCCCCGTGTCTCCTTGCTTGAGGCTGGTTGGGGTACATAAACCTAACCCTAAAAGTTGTACCCCCTATAACACACATCACTAAGACTACAACATTTGACACGAACCGTGAGGTTGGGTCGTCGTGAACAGTGGTGGGAACAGTGTCGAGGTGAGTGTCGCGAGTGGTAACGGATTACTGTTTGGGCGCTGTTGGCGGGAATAGTGGTGTACGCGCTCATTGTTACGGGTGCAATTGGAATGAGCGAGCGAGAATTGCACTATCGAAGCAAGAATACAATGAGCGAAGAATACATAGCGAAAACTATAGTGGTAACGGTAATGTGTGAAAAATGGGGTGCGCGACGGGCTTGGCGCCGAGGTTGGAAAATGTCGAGGCGGAGGTCCGGAGCGCGGGTTACCAGCCGAACCGTGAGGTTGGGTCGCGTCGTGAACAGTGGCAGGAACAGTGTCGGGGCGAGTGTCGCGAGTGGTAACGGATTACTGTTGGGTGCTGTTGGCGGGAACAGTGGTGTACGTGCTGAGCAGGGACGCGAAGTAAGGAAAATGAGTTTTCCTTACACTACCCGCCCCCCCTAAGGAGGCCCTCCTTATGAAAGCGCGTGTACATCCCGGAAGTTTCGGCTGCGCAGGTACTCGGTGAGGAAGGGGTGATTCTCAACTCTATCCAGGGGAACCCTGTTTTCTTCAGTGGGCGTGCGGTCTTTCCAGCGGATAAAAAATTCGATCCTTCGGGCTCCCCATGGGTCACGGACTCGGTGGCTCAGGATTTTTTTGGGCGTGACGATTGGTTCTGTTGGTGGTCGTGTCATGCTGGCTGGGCGGTTGCGGGGCAGTTGGCTGGTGGATGGCACGTAAGGGCGAAACAGGCTGACGTGGAATGACGGGCTGACATACCGGTCAGCAGGGAGGAGGAGGTGGGTGGTGACGGGTGTTGGCTGATGCGAAATGGCCCACAATATCGGGGGCGGAGTTTTGGGGTGATTGGCAGGCGGAGGTTTTGAGTGTTGAGTAGTACGAGGTCGTCGGGCTGATAAGTGACAGGTCGGCGGTGGCGGTCGGCGTTGCGCTTAGCGTTGATGTGTATTGCGTCTGCTGCTCGGGTCCGTGCTGCTTGTAAAATTTCGGCGAACTGTTGCGCGCGTGGCACCGGGTTGTCGGGATTTGGGGTCATGGGTACTGTAAGGTCTTGTCCGTAGTTCAGATAAAATTGTGATTGTTGGGTCGTGGCGGATGGCGAGTTATTGTATGCGAATACGATGAGTGGCGGCTGCTGTTCCCAGGTGGTCGGGTCGTCGCACGTGGCTCGGATGAGTTGCTCCATGGTCTGGTTTGTCCGTTCCGTCCGTCCGTCGGTTTCGGGGTGGTACGAAGAACTAAATT